AAAATTCATACCAAAATACAATATAAATGTTCACAAGTTATAATTAATATACAACTAGCCTTAAAAAAAAAAAACTTATACTAATGTAAATATTTATACTGCAACGTAAAAATATAAAACAAAGTTGAAAAAAAAATAAAAATTGACTATTTCAATTGTTTAATGGTAACGAAAATAATTGTTCAACTAACAAACATAGTAACAAAAACAACAAACATACAATTAACTTTCGAAAAAATAAAATTTATACCAAAATACAATATGAATGTTCACAATTCATAATTAGTATACAACTAGTTTTAAAAAAATAAACTCATACTAATGTGAACATTCACACTGCAACGTGAAAATATAAAATAAAATTGAAAAAAGTAAAAATCGACTATTTTGATTGTTCAATGGTAACAAAAATGATTGTTCAACCAATAATATAGTAAAAAAACAAAAAACAAAATATGACTAACTTTCAAAAAAATTCCCAAAAAAAAAAAAAAAATACCAAAAAAAATTTAAATATTCACAATTTACAATTAACATACAATTAACTTTAGAAAAACTAAATCCATACTAATGTGAATATTTACACTGCAATATGAAACATAATTGAAAAAAAAAAAAGACTATTTCAATTGTTTAATTGTAACAAAAAATGATTGTTCAAATGACAAATATAGTAACAAATAACCAATGATATGTGACCATTCACATCTTGCAAAATATATAATTATATCCATATCTATATTCCAACACTTATTTATCAAATTTTCAAACAATGTGAAATGTGAATATTTACACTGATTGACAAAAAAAAAAAGAAAAAGAAAAAGAAACAATGGCAACAATAGAATTAGAAATCTAAAAAAAAACTCAATCACTCTAAAAATAAAAAAATATCATCGACATCATCATTTTTATCATTATCATTAACAATCTATGCAATTTTACCATTTCGCCAATCCAATCCAAATCAAACCAAACCCACCTTTGAAGAATATGGTTGCAACAAAATTGACTAAATATAAACAGAGTTTCGATTTACAACAATGGAGAAATATGGAGTTTCAAAGACATAGGAACGATAGACGAACATAGAATTTCGAAGACAAAGTGACAATGGAGGAATACAAAACTTCACCGCAACAATGAAGGAACATAATATCATTTCACCACCATGTGTAAACTAGAGTTTCTAAACCATACCAAATAGAGAGTTTCGAAATGGATGATTTTTTAGAAAGTCCTATTCTTAAATGTTATGTTCCATTTAATCCATATTTTTTTAAAAAATATTCTATTAGGTCCTGTTTAATATAATATGACCAAATTACCATTCCAAACTTTTTGGGCTTGTTCCCATTTTGAAATCAATACACAATTAAAAATAATAACAGTTCTTCATTCCATTGAGAAAATTTCTTCCTCATTCTAATGAGAAAATTGCTCCCTTATTTCATGGAGAAAATCTCTCATTTATTTTATATGGAAAAAATATCTCATTTATTCTATGGAAAAAATATCTCACATTTTCAAAACCCTAAATCTTCTACCTTACTCCAAAGTGAAGAAGCAACGTTGTGAACATTCACATTGATCAAAGTGTAGACACTATGAACATCCACATTACTAGTAGTTGCTTATATTTGTATACACACAACCATTGGCTTAATGTGAGTTGTGGTAAATAAATATTAATGTGAACTTTTACATTACAAATGTATGCTGGTAAAATAACACATTGTTGTTTGCACTTGTATGACTATTTTTGAATGTGAATATTAACATTGATTAATAATGTCATGATCACAATACCAATTGCAACACATTACAATATGATAATTCACAACAAGTAATGACTCATTATAGTGTGAATATTCACACCATATAATAATCATACAAAACTCATACAATAATTAGTGATATGTAAACATTCACATTATGCAATAACCATACAATCATCAGTCTACATTACACGCCATGCAACCCTTACATGTTTTTAATATTGAAGTTCACATAATCAAATGCAAAATATTAAAATATGATAATCCACAACAACAATAACTTCAGTGGATGTAAACGTTCACATTCACTGAAATATCCACCCAATAAGCATACACACATTGATACATAATACCATATCAATTTATTTCGAAACAAAAAGTTAAGTCCGACTTTATTGAACATACATTTGCTAACCAAAAATGGTGCTAACCTTCATTCAACAATTCTAAACTTTGAAACCGCAACAATAGAAGAAAACAGAGTTTCAAAACCGCAATAGTGAAAGAAAACAGAGCTTCAAACTGTAACAATGGAAGAAGGTAGTATTTGAATGTTCTCTAACTTTCGTCCAACAATTCTGAACTTGAAAATCGCAACAATAAAAGAAAACAGAACTTTAAAACTGCAATAATGGAAAAAAAAAATAGAGTTTCGAACTATAACAATGGAAGAAGAAAATATTTAAATGTTCTCTTACCACCAATGTATAACCGAAACTCTTACAAAAACATATAATGGAAATGTATCTATTTATTCTTCCAATATCTCTAATCACCAAAACTTCCAAAATAGAAATAACAAGATATGAAAAACGTTATTTCCTATTGTGTATAATACTTACTATCAAAATAGAATAAAGGGCATAATAATCCCAAAAAAATTATAAATAAGGCGAAAAGGACCTACTGGGATACAAATCTAAATATATGGGATTTGATGGAACACAAGAAAACATTGTAGGTTTATTGGGCTATCAATCTACTAAAAAAGATTTATAAATAAATCTCTCTAGAAAAATTAAGATTATTAATTCAGAAAAATGAATCAATAATTAACAATGATTAATAAATAATTTACAATCATTGTACGTATAATTTATATTTTACTAATTTTAAATTTACAACACACTCACTTTGAGAGTATTTTTGTTTATTATAATGGATCTAATTATAATTAGGGGTGTAAATTTGGCCTAGCGGGCCCATGTTGAGCCTCATAAGCTCCTGCTTATATTCGGGCCAGGCCGATCCACGGGCCAAAAAATTAAGCCTAGGCCCAGGCCCAAGCCTAGGGGTATTCGGGTCTTGGGCGGGTTGGTGGGCCAGGCCTCGGGCCGGCCCAATGGGCTTAGGCCTGACCAAATATTTTTTTTAAAGTTTTTTTTTACCAAAATTTTATTATTTTCCATTAAAAAATACACTAGGCCTAGGGCGGGTTAGGTTTTGAGCCAGGCCTTAAATGGGCCTTAAGCAGGCCTATGGGCTAGACCGGACTTTAAAATGATGGCCTAGGCCCTAGCCTAGGAGCTCGAGCTGGGCTCGGGCTTGAGCCCAAGTGGGCCTAAACGGGCCCTGCCCATCCTGGGCCGCGGGCCATTTTTACACTTCTAATTATAATAGAAAAGAATGTGGCGCAATTGTCATGGTCCAATAACTTAAAATTCGTTTGACAACATTACCTTTTAGCTTAAAAGTTAAAAAGTCACCAAAAAATCAAAAAAATCAAAAACTTATACTAAAAAGTCAATGATTTAATTTTCTCTCTACTTTTTATACATCTTTTCGTAAAAAATTAAAAAGTCATTCCAAACATACTAATTTTTTTTATATCATATTTTAGCGAAAAAATTAAAAAATTACTAAAAAAGCATGTTCCCAAACAAGACCGTAGTGTCACATAAGGCTAAGCTGACCTAAACTCATACTCTTGTATGTTGGAATTAGTATCGTACAAAATACCATTTAATTCGCTAAAATTATATCGATCTACATCAATTTGTACCCTTCTATTACGGTTTAAACTTTAAACTTTATAATTTGCTTTCAAAACTGCTCCGCTTTGCTATAGTTAATATATATATATATTTTAATTTATAATGAAATATCAAAATAAAAATGAATGTGAGAGAGATTTAATATGTGAAATTTATTACAAATTAATAATTATATAAATAAAAAATATTATGTAAAATTAATTTGTATTATATATATGAAAAATATTATATAAATTAATGTTATATTTTAAACAAAAAATTGATAATTAATTAAAATATTTTTTAATTTATCAATTCATTTTAAAACACTCAAATCATAATTTATTAATTCATTAATTTATTAATTTACTATTTAATATATAATTTTCCTCTTAAACTATTCCACTACGCAAATAAACATGTTGAATAACGTTGGGAAATTGAAATAGCTTTCTTGGATCCTGTGACTGTGGGAGAGATAGACATTGTTCACTCACTATTGCCAAAATTTATCAAAATGCTAGCTAGCTAAAGATAAAGTAACCAAGGAATGATGAAAAGTAGAAAGAAAATTTAAAAAAGAAAAGGAAAAAGAAATCCCAAGAAAACAAAAAGTATTATGGGAGAGAGCACACAAAGGTAAAAACCACTTATGAGAGACAGAAAAGAAGGCAGAAGAAACAGAGTGAAAGAGGATGAGACTATTCAAAATTTAAAATCTTTATAACAAATGTATTCTCTGAATCTAGGAATGGTTTAGGACGTAGGTTAATATTTTGATATTTTGACATTTTAACTATTTTAGTATGGGATTAAAAATTTTCGTTTAAGATTGATTTTTTAATTTTTTTTAAAAAATTTTTGTGAAAAAAAAAATAAATAATCATAATTTGAATTTGACATTGTATTTTTAACTAATTTTATATTTTTATAACTATTTTAACCCAAATTATCTCAAACCGTTATACCAAACGAGTGCCTAATTATAAATTTCAATAACAGAGTGAAAGGGAGAAAAGATTTATGTTATATTTAAAAGAAATTATTTAAATTTAAAGTTTATATATCATAATTATTATGGGTATAAATAAGTTTAAATATATATTATACATTTCAAATTTTGAATAAAAAAAACATAACATTTGTGAAAACTTTAGTAGTAGAAATTTGAGTTACAAATAAAACTACTAAAAGTTGTAGAAAGTAACAGTGATAGTTTCACACACTCTCTCTTCTTTCTCTATCTTCAAATTTCACAACAAACAGAACCCACCGATGAAACAAATCATCATGAAACACCCTTTGCACCCAACACTCCAAAAAAGCATTTCTATTCCTCATCAAAACCTTCCATCCCATAAATTTACAAATCTTAACTCAATCCACCTCTCACCCACAACCCCCCCAAAACCATGAACTACCCTTCTTTCCCTCTCTTTCTCACCACATTCTCACTAATCATCTTTCTTAGAATATCCCAAGTCACTACCACCATCACCGCTACTGCTGCCACCGTCTCTACGACGCTCCCTCCCCAATTAATCTCTCTCCTCTCTCTAAAATCCTCGCTCAACGACCCTCTCAACACATTCCATGACTGGAACCTCACTGCCACCGCCACCGTCGCCGCCGCCGCCACCTCAAACACCCCTAGTTCCCAGCCCGTTTGGTGCTCGTGGTCCGGTGTAAAATGCGACCACCGGGCCTACCAAGTCACGTCACTCGACCTCTCCGGACGCAACCTCTCCGGCACGTTTCCCCTCCAAATCCGATACTTAATGCACTTACATCACCTCAATTTAAGCACAAACTCATTCGACGGTCCTTTCTCCGCCATCATCTTCAACCTACCGTTCCTCCGAACTGTCGATATTAGCCACAACTACTTCAATTCGACATTCCCTCCCGGTATATCAAGACTCAAATCTCTCACTGTCTTCAATGCCTACTCCAACAGCTTCACCGGCCCTATTCCACCGGAGATCACTTCGCTCCGCTCCCTCCGAATCCTCAACCTCGGCGGAAGCTACTTCGACGGTTCCATTCCGGCCAGTTTCGGATATTTCCCGAATTTAACATTCTTAAATCTCGCCGGAAATCTTCTTACGGGTCCAATTCCTCCAGAGATGGGTTCTCTGCCTCGGCTCGAGCGGTTAGAGATCGGATACAACGAGTTTACCGGCGGAGTTCCGGCAGAGTTTGGAAATTTACCGAATTTCAAGTACTTAGACATGTCCTCTGCGAATCTCTCTGGCCAACTCGCCCCTGAACTCGGCAATCTGACTACACTCGAGACCTTGCTGCTCTTCAAGAACCACTTTTCCGGTTCCGTGCCGGCGAGTTTCGCGAAATTACAAGCTCTCAAGGCTCTTGATTTGTCAGACAACCAACTTTCCGGGCCTATTCCGGCCGGAATTTCATCACTCAAAGAGCTCATCGTTCTGAGTTTAATGAACAATCAACTTTCCGGGCAAGTACCAGATGGTATTTCTGATCTTCCAAATCTCCAAATGCTGTTTCTCTGGAACAATTCACTCACCGGAGCTTTACCGGAGAAATTAGGATCGACCCAGATGTTGCAAAAGCTTGATGTTTCGTCGAATTCGCTTTCCGGTCCGGTACCTCCATATATCTGCTTCGGAAACATGTTACTTAGACTCATTCTTTTCGGAAACAAATTCACCGGTGAGCTTCCTTCATCGCTCGTAAATTGCACCTCCTTATCAAGGGTTCGAGTACAAGACAACAATCTCAACGGTTCAATTCCATTTGGGTTTGGTTCTTTGCCCAACTTGACATACATAGATTTGAGTAAAAACAACTTCACCGGTGCAATTCCTAGAGATTTCGGCAATGCGGCCACGTTAGAGTTCTTGAACGTATCAGAAAATTCGTTCAACTCCGAGTTGCCGGACAATATATGGAGCGCGCCGAATTTGCAAATATTTTCAGCTTCTTCTTCTAAGCTCACGGGTCGAATTCCGGACTTCATTGGTTGTAAAGGCTTGTATAAGATTGAATTAGAAGGTAATAGTTTGCATGGAAGCATCCCTTGGGACATTGATCATTGTGAGAAGCTGATTTACTTAAATTTGCGTCATAATTCACTTTCGGGGATTATCCCGTGGGAGATATCGACGCTTCCATCAATAACCGATGTTGATTTATCCTACAATTTCTTGACCGGGACGATACCTTCGAATTTCGACAATTCTAGCACACTCGAAGCCTTCAATGTTTCGTATAACAATCTCACCGGAGAAATACCCATGTCCGGGACGATTTTCCCGAAACTCCATCCCTCGTCGTTTATTGGCAACGAAGGTCTCTGCGGAGGAATCCTCCTAAAGCAGTGTGACACTAACGGTCTCGTCGCCGGAGCTGCGGAGGTCAAGCAACAGCCGAAGAAGACCTCCGGTGCAATCGTGTGGATCATGGCGATCGCCTTCGGGATCGCTCTATTTGTTCTTATCGTTGCTAGTCGTTGCTTCCGGGCAAACTACAACCGTCGATTTTCTGGCGATCGCGAGATCGGACCGTGGAAGTTAACCGCCTTCCAACGGTTGAATTTCACGGCGGATGATGTGTTGGAGTGCTTATCAATGTCTGATAAGATCTTAGGGATGGGATCTACTGGAACAGTGTATAAAGCCGAGATGCCAAGTGGAGAGATCATAGCGGTAAAGAAATTATGGAGCAAACACAAAGAAACGATCAGGAGAAGACAAGGTGTGTTAGCTGAAGTCGAAGTGTTGGGCAATGTGAGGCACCGGAACATAGTGAGATTGTTAGGTTGTTGCAGCAATAACGAGTGCACGATGCTACTCTACGAGTACATGCCTAATGGGAGCTTAGATGACTTGTTGCATGGTAAGAACAAGCGGGATAATTTGGCGGCGGATTGGCTGACTCGGTATAAGATAGCCTTAGGCGTGGCTCAAGGGATTTGTTATCTCCACCATGATTGCGACCCAGTGATCGTTCATCGTGATCTCAAACCCAGTAATATACTATTGGACAGCGAAATGGAGGCTAGAGTGGCTGATTTTGGTGTGGCCAAGCTAATCGAGAGTGATGAATCTATGTCAGTCATTGCTGGTTCCTATGGCTACATTGCACCAGGTACGTATTTGATTTTTTTGATAATTTTTGTTTGGTGACGATATTTTATTACTATGCGTCCAGAATATACGTACATTAGTGGGTCTAATTATTTTATTTTCACTGTGTAATTCTTGTCATTGTGCGTTTTGTTGGGTGACAAATTTGGATATTGTAGTATCTAAATTTTGTCTCCTATCATGCAAAATGGAGTTAGTTACACTAATGCATTAATGATCAAATTCAATGCTTAAATTTGATACTCTAAAATGTAACGGTGGTATTACATGTACTAATTGATATATTAATTAGTATACTAACATATATAGTCATTACATTGTTATTTTAAAACTATGACCTCATCCATTATTCCAATTACAAAAATTCAAAATCTCTAAAATTATGTCACATCATCTGTTGGTATACTAATTAGTATATCAATTGGTACTTATAGTTTTATTCAAAATGTAATCTTTTTTTTTTTTTGGCTAAGAAAATTTAATATGAGAGTGAGGAAGAAATATTTCGGCAACTTCATCAAAGAAGAGGAACTACCAAAAATAAAGAATAAAAAAAATAAAATAGCAAAAAGAATTCAAATGTGTAGGGCAGATTGAATAAGTATAATTTATATATTTTAAATTTAAGATATTTTTCTGAATAAATATAATAGAAAAGGTGCAGAACCAACAATTCTTTTAACATATTATCATGAATATATAAAATTAGGTATAAAAGTAGAGGATTTACATTAATAAATATTTTTGAGGCTCAATACTTTACAGTTAATTATAAAAATAAAAATAAAAATAAAAATAAAAATTTAGTAAGAAATCTGTGAAATAACATTTAAATTATTTGTTTATTATTATTTTTTTTCAATTCAAAGCTTTAACACGTTGCTACAGTGCGCCACTGGAATGAGACGTGGGTGTGGTGCACCACGCACCGAGCTGAACCTGAAGTCATCGTTACTGTTCCGGTAGATTTGCGCACTATTGCGCGTGAAGTGGCGCTTTTTCTTTTTGCATTCTCTTTACTTCTTTCAATGGGCCCACAAAAGATCAGGCGATGCTAAAGCCTTTAAGAGCCACCCACATTCTCTTCACTTGGTGACTTTTCCTCAAAAGTCAAACATTTTGGGCGGCAATGTCCTTTTATTTTTATTTTTATTTTTTTTGAATGGAAAATTTTATGCTTATAATTTTTTTTTTTGGTATATATCAATATAGTTTAGAATGATATGTTAATGGTAATTTAGTAATTAAAACTTATTTTGATGGATTATTTGTTCGGAATTGATAAGTAAAAAAATTAGACACATTGGCCTATAGTTAATTTTTGTAAATTGTCATTCTTTGTAGTTCATTATTTTTAAAAAAAACGATATATAAGTAGAATTTTTATACTAGAAAAATCGTTCATAATGGTGTGACCGTGAGATTTTTGAAATTATAAGTAACAACAACAATTGCTTTAACTTGAAATGAAAGAACAACCGAAGGATATATCATTTGGTATGAAAGTTTATATGGCATTGCTCTTATGCTTTTTGAATGGATAGTTTGTCTCATTGGGTCATTAACGATGTGTTTGGTTTTGTAGAATATGCCTACACATTACAAGTTGACGAGAAAAGTGACATTTACAGTTATGGGGTGGTGTTGATGGAGATGTTAATCGGGAAGAGATCAGTCGACTCGGAATTCGGTGATGGCAATAGCATTGTGGATTGGGTGAGGTCAAAAATGAAGACCAAGGATGGCCTTTACAGTGTGCTAGACAAGAATGCTGGAGCATCATGTGTTTTAGTGAGAGAGGAAATGATGCTATTGCTAAGGGTTGCATTACTTTGTACTAGCCGGAACCCTGCTGACCGGCCCTCAATGAGGGATGTCGTGTCAATGCTGCAAGAAGCCAAGCCTAAGCGGAAATTGCCCGGAAATGGTGGTGGGCGTGACAATGCAACTGGTGGTGGTGATGGCGGTGGTGGTGCTAATCCTTTGGCACAAAAAGCAACTGTTGAATGTTAATATAATTGGTTTTAAGGGTTTTTTCTTTATTTTATTTTATTTTATTTTTTTCAAATTGTGGGGATTGGTATAGGAGAAGTGATTTTGTTTTGTTTTGTTTTGTTTTGTTTTTAAATTTGCAATGGAATTTCACAAGTGTTGTGATTTTGCTGGTGATGTGTTATGTTGGGCAATGCTCCTTAACATCAAGGATTAGTGTTTCATTACATTAAGATATAAATATTAGTGTTTGTTGCAATCCTGTTTGATACAATTTCTTTCTAGCTAAAAGTTTATAATTTAGGGAGATTATTGGGCTCTCAATGGGGGCAATCTTGATAATTGTAAGGTATTCAGAATAGATTACTCATTTATAAAATCATATTTGATTAGATAATCATATCTACATAATTATGTTTATCTTCAATATATATATAACATATGTGATTTGGTCATATATCTACAATTTTTTGATTAATAGCATTTTTACTTGATGATCTTCTTGAATGGCTCTACAAATGATTTGCACGAGTCAACAAAACGGATTCAATGACGAGCCCACCGAATTATCAACTGGAGAGAATCTTATCCCATAATTTAAATACAAGTTTTTTATTTTATTTATTTTAACAAACAATTTATATTATCCAGAGGGGTGAGGAGGGGAAAGGATGGGGTTTAAACCAATAATCTCAGGGTTAATTACACTCAGTACTCATGTATTTTTATCAATATTTTATAATCTCAGGGTTAATTACACTCAGTACTCATGTATTTTTATCAATATTTTATTTTAGTCCTTCTATTTTTAATTTTCATTAGCCTTATTAATGATAAATTGAAGAAAGGGTGAGATTTTTTTAAAAGTGCAAAGAATTAAAATGAGATTTTAATAAAAGTTATATTAATGAGACAAGAAACATATCACATGATTTAAGTGATAGGTTTTGTTAACTTTGTAAACGGCAGATTGATGGAATGATGATATTACAATTTGACTTCATATATAAGTGATTAATTATCAAAGTTTAGGAACCAAATAAATTTTAGTGAAATGTAAGAATCCTAATTATAATTAGCCTCTAACCTGATGTGCAATCGTATCAGATTTTAAAAACTTATATGACTTGCTCTTTAATTCAAGTGTTAACAGTCCATAAATTGACATGATTTTTTGTCATTGGATTCCATTAAACTCAACCATCAATGGATGAAAATAGTTCAAAGTCAAACATTCCCATGATGATGTTGCCATTGAAAATCCGATTTTGGTAATGATTTCAATGCTTAGCGTGTGTTTTTTCCACTATTATCGTTATCTTAACTCTCTTTATTTTATTTTTATGTAGTTTACTCTCTAAAAAAATCATTAAAAAAAAATACTATCTAAAAATTTAGAAAGGAACGTAATGTAGTTATTTTTCAAAAAATATAAAATGTGAGGATATTAGTCTGGATGGTCTAATTTTGGATATATGAGCTCATCATGAGTGTCGTTTTGTTAAGTTAAATTGTTTATCTTTTAGATATTTATGTGTAGATCATTTTAAAAAAAAATTGATCTAATAAGTGTAAAAAATGTAATTTTATCATATTTATTTACAAATATATATATATGTGTTATATTTTTTAAATCATATTTGCAATTCATTTCATGAAAATAAATATTCTGAAATGATGTGGTTACATTTATAGATCAATATATGTTATTACAAGGATAATCTACACAAATACTTAAAAGATAATGAATTCAAATTATTGAAGCGAAACTGCGGTACATCCACAAGCCCAAAACTTGACTGTCAAGAAGACTGGAGATAACCCAACAGCATATGTAGCAAGTGCAAGGGAGCATAATAAATAGGGGGCATTAAAAAAACTGGTAAAATCGTGAATTAATTCGAATTGGTTTATATGGTATAGTTTGGTTTTATTTTTTGAGGAAACAGTGTGGTTCTGTTTTCAAAAAATTAAAATTGTTGATTACAATTAGATTTATAGACTAAAATTCAAAAGAACCGTATAAATCAAATCAAACAGTAGGATGGTTTTATTATTTTAAATATGTATAAGGTGTTCCACAAGTTAATTGCTTTTCCTCTTATTGACATCTTTGAATAATCTCATTTCAACATCGATGAAGCATTAATTCCTTTTATTCACAGGATACTATATCTCCATCCAAAAATGTGTATAAGTTTTTGGAAAATTTATCCATAAATTTTATATAAGAGAATGTTGATCTATTTCATCCTAAGGCCTCGTTTGTTTTTAGAGGTAAAATGGAGGGGATTCATAGTGAGGGGATTAATAGTGAGGGGATTAATAGTGAGGGGACTAAATAAAATTGTGTTTGTTTTGATGATAGTTGTTAATGTAGGAATTGTTAAATTATTTTTATATAAAATAATAAAACAAATAAAAAAATATAAAAAATTAAACATTAATATTTTTAAAAAAATTCCCAATATATAAAAAATAAAAAAAATAAAAAATTTTCTAATCCCCTCACTACTTTTCTAATACCATCTCTACCTCATTCTTTCCAATCCCCCTTCCAAGGCCTTTACTAATACCAAGGGATTAGGAGTCCCCTCCCCCATCTCTCAAAACAAACACCTCATATAGTAGTCTCACCTCACTATCAATCCCAATCCCCTCCTTATAACCCCAAACAAACGGGGCCTAAGAGTTTTCTTATGAACTAATTAGTTCTTTTTGTTTTTGAAAGTTGTATTTATTTGATTTGATGCCATTTGTGTTTAAGTGAATGTCCTTTGTGATTCATTTTTTTTAATTTTCTGATTTATTTTTGGGATGAAAATGGAAATGTGAGGTGTGAAAGATTCTATTAGGGGGATTGTAGATAAAGTGTTGGTTGCTGAGCGTGGAAATTTACATTTCTATTAATGTAATTTTTTTGATATTACATTAGAGTGCTATGTTTGGAAAAAATACGTCAAGAAATTTTTATGTGTTATATTGATTGGAGTGTTACGCTTGATAAAAATACATTATGAGTTTTTTTTTTGAAATTTTGCGTTGTTACATTTGGAAAAAGTACACAAGGAATTTTAAAGTGTTACGTTTGGAAAAAATATACTAAGAAATTTTTGTGTGTTACATTGATTGAAGTGTTACGTTTAGAGAAAGTACATCAATGAGTTTTTTTGGAATGTTACGTTGTTATATTTAAGAAAAGTACACAAAAGAGTTTTAATGTGTTACATTGAAGTGTTACGTTTTTAGAGTTTTATATTAGAGTATTGCCTTAATTTGGGGAAAGTATACTAAATAATTTTTTTGAAATATTACATTTAGTAATTTCAACATTATAAGAAAACTTACATTTATTCTTTAATGCATAACACACGCACATTTATACTTGACATTTTATATAATTTACACTAAAATAAGGCATTTGAGTCTCTTAAAAAAAAAAAAAAAAGACTAAACAGTTCATAAAATTACTATTTGGCTGGTGCTTCACCCTAATTTTTTCCCCCACTAGTTATATGATTTTTATACTTCTTATATTACTAAAAATTATATTTTTATTTTAATTACTATACAATATGAAACATTTGCTTTGTTTTTACATCATTTATAAAAGTTTTTGTTTGAAATACATTGTTAAAATAAAAAATAAAACAAAACAAAATAACAATCGTATGTGTATGAAACTTTTAGGATACCTGTATGAGTAAAATTAATTTTATTGAATTAAATAGTCTAGGTGTAGTAATGAATTTTTAGTTTGGAGCCAAATCAAAACCGAATGAGAACTGAACCTTCTTGGTTCATTTTCCCTTAAAGATTTCACCATTTGGTTTGATCCTCAATTTCTAGAATAGTAAGAATTGAGTTGCTTTTTAATTTAATTTAAAACAAAATCAAACCGATTCATAAACTCCCTAATAACAAGTGTAAGGATATATAAATAAGTCAATTATTCAATTCGATTGAATTCTTTAAAAAAAAAATATTTTACAAGAATTAATAGCTAGGAAGGGTTGAGAATGGTTCCCAACCAAATTTCAAAAAAATTATTGAAAAATTCTTGTATATGCGTGCGTAAAATAGAATAGATGGGATCAATATTATCTCTCATCCAGTAGATTAAAGTCATCTCATAATTAATGTTTTTATTGATTTAGAAGTAATATATCAACGGGTTGAGTTAATACTTCAATAATAAGTATAATTTTGTGTAATACTTTATATATATATATAAAGCCACGCATATAAATGTGGATACAATTTCTTGCACTGTTCAGTGTTGTAAATAAGAATTAGCACGAAAAACATTACTTGATTGCAGTGGCGTAGTCAGAAATTCAGTGAAGAGGAACACAAATTAATGAAAATATTAATTTTTTTTTTATAATAAACAACAATGGCTCTATTTGATAGGGCTTATTTCCAGCTTATTTCAACTTTTAGCTTAATTTAAGTTATTGTAATGTGTTTGATTCAGCTTAATAATACAGCTTATAACTTTTTGTAAGTCAAAAATCAACTTATTCTTTGAGTGGGGAAGGAGAAACTTAATTTATAAGTCAAAAATTAAGTGTTCATTTGGGTAAATGTGAATTTTAAATTAAAGGATTTGCGATAAAATTTTATACAAATATTGGGAAGCAACTATTTTATAGGTGGATTGAAAAATTTTAAAAAAAAAATAAGTTGAGATAAAAATGATATATTTTAGTAGAAAAATTCTATAAAACATACCGCAAAAAAGTGTCTATCATATGTTGCAATTATGATTTTCGTGGCTTTTAGTTATAACACATTATAGTGTTAGATATAATTTAGTTATAACTTCTTATGGTTTTTATTTTGTTTATGATTATATATATCAAGTAACAGTTAGTTATGATTCATTCTGATATTAGTATGACCTATTGTAATTTTTTTAATTTTTTTTAATTTTATAATTGAAGATGTGTTGCTTGATTATAATTTATATAGTAATCATTTTAGTTATGAATGGAAAGGAACACATGGAAGATAAACTCCACATGTCAAATGTAACTAGGGGTGAGCAGCGGATATACCGATCCGCCAAAACCGACCGAACCGAACCGATCCACCGCATTTTGGACGGATGCGTGATGACGAGCGGACGGTTGCGGATTGATTTTCTCCAATTTGCCAATTTGGCGGACGGATGCCGGATTTGAGGTCCCTTTGGCCGCAACCGACCCGCCAAACCGCGAGCACCCTTAATAATTTATAAGATTTTGTGTTTTCAATTTATTTAAATATTTT